CCACACCAGGACTCATATATATAGTATGTATATATAAATTAATTGACCAATTGGAAAGATTCAGCAAGCTTAAGCTCTGTGAAGAAAAAGAAAATGAAAATATTTTCCTCTCATATTTTATTCATTAGAATTTGATCCACAGAGCTAGCTAAAGCTGAGTGCCTTCAGGTTTAGGTTTATAGATTAGTGGAAAGCCCTTTGGCCATTTATCAGCAGTGCTAAAAGGTCTTTGTAACATTCTTGGAGTAGGGCTGAGGCCATGGGGCCTGTGACTGAGAGGCTGGGGATCAGAGAGAGACCTGCCTGATGGCATGGCTGGGGAGAGGCTGTCTTGACTAAAAGAACTGTGCCCTAAGCATTTCTGACCCTGAATTGTAACTTAGTAACTCCCCTAATAAACCCCATAACCATGAGTATGGGCTGATGCAGAGTTTAATTTTCCTTCTTCCTTGTGCAGTCAGAAGAGATCAGATGATGCCACACCCAAGCACATTTTTGCTCTTGATTTCCTTTTTGCAATCTAAGATATATCTGTAAAATATCTCTATTAGTTTTTATCCTCTTGAAGAAGAACCACTCAAAGATGATATGGAATTACCCTACTATTATCACAGAAGAAAGAAGCAAAGAAAATAGTGCTGTATTTACAATTCTATGGAATGACCCTACTGATGACACTAATCTGTGAACAATGGTACATCTATCTGTATGTAGGTAATTCCACTAGGAACAGAGTGGAATAAAATGGAAATGAATTTCTATGAGAAAAATTACTTTTTAAAAATTATTTTCTCTTTTAGACTTCTGGTCATTCTATTACTAAGCCCTCTTTTGTCTCGACTTGATCATGGGTTCAGCTGGCGCTGGGCTTTCATAATGGTCTTGAGTGAGATGAGAGGGACTCCTAACATCGATATGGCCCTTCTACTTGCCTATGACTCTTTCACTGGAACTGAGAGGGAAAAATATCAAGTAAATAATGTTTTGCTTTTTTATTTTATAGATTATAAAGCTGTTTCTATGTGTTAAAATATGTATAGTTGTGAGGTAGCTCAACCTCACCAGGACTGTAGAGAATGGTCTGGCTATGATGGCAAGATTGAAAAGAGGGGGAACAACTGATCACTATGCTATTCTCCATTCCTGACATTCAAATTCCTCTTCAGTCATGACCATCTACTGACAGTATAATCTAACTTAATTCACATTGATAGATATAGAGTAAGTAATATATAATTGTCATAAATAATAACTTTGTTTTTTTTTTTTTTTTCATTCTAGATGTTATTTCATGGAGTGTCTGTTTGCTTCATTACCTTGATTTTCAATAAATTTATTTTGCCACTGGCTGTTACTAAACTAGGTAAGCCCAATTAAGCCGTTTTTTGAATGAAGAGAAATAATTCTAAATACACTAAAGAAGTACTAATAATGAAGAATCCATATATATAGATAAATCAACAATGCCTAGTTGAAGACAAAGTTGTTAAGTGCCATAGAGTTGTCTCGGACTCGTGGAGACCCTAAAAGTATAAGTATAGGGTTCCCTATGAGTGGCTGGTATGTATGTATGTATGGAATGGCAACCTTTTGGTTAACAGTCCATTGTTTATCCTATGCTGGCAAAAAAGATATTTGCAATGAAGAAGTATTGCAAAATTCTATCATGCGATGTCCAGCATAATTTCTATCACCAAAGCCGTATTTTCCAACTTCTAATCCTTCCTTTGTCTTTCCAACCTTCACATTCCAATTGCCAGTAATTATCAATACATCTTGATTGCATGTTTGATTGATTTCACACTGAAGAAGTTGGTCCTCCAATTTTATCATCACTGGCTTTAGTGGTTGTGCATAAATTTGAATAATAGTGATATTAACTGGTCTTCCTTGTAGGCGTATGGATCTCATCCTATCACAGACAGCATTGTACTTCAAGGCAGATCTTGATATGTTCTTTTTGATGATGAATGTGATACCATTCCTCTTCAATTTGTCATTCCTGGCATAGTAAACGATGTGATTGTCTGATTCAGAATGGCCAATGCCGGTCCATTTCAGCTTACTAATGTGTAGGAAGGATTACAATGTTTATGCCTTCCATTTCATTTTTGACAACTTCCAATTTTCCTAGATTCATACATTCTATATTCTGATTATTATTAATGAACATTTACAGCTACTTGTCTTCTTTTTGAACTGTTACCCATCAGTAAATAAAGGTCCATTCATGTACTTTGAGGAGGCAGCTCTCTTCCTCAGTCATACTTTGAGTACTTTCCAACCTGAGGGCCTCATCTTCCTGCACTATATCTGACAATATTCTAGAGTTCTTCATCATATTTTAATGCCCAATAATCTGGTACTGACTGCGTTCCACTGCTATTTATATGGTGTTCAGTGACTAAATATTCAGAACATTCCTTCTTTCCTTCTTCCTAGTCTTTCTTCATCTAGGAGCTAACTGAAACCTATCCACAATGGGTGATCCTGCTGATGTTTAAAATATCCTTAACATAGTTTTCAGGATCACAGCAACACCCAAGTCACCACAGAACAACAAACTGACAGACGAATGGTGGGCTTGTCATATAGAGTCTATAAATAAGGCACATTAATGGTTGAGGACAATAAACTTACTTATTAAAAAATTTGTGTATTAGCTTTTGTCCAGTTTATCTAAAAGAATGTATTCATTTATTTAATTATTCAACAAACTGCTATTAAGAGCATGGTATGATGCTGTAGGATAAGCGCTGAATTTGTAATGACAAGGCCGGCAGTTCAAATCTACCAACCACTCCTTGGAAACCCTATATATAGTTGCTATTATTTGAGACTGACTCAATAGTACTTAACAGCAAAAGCACAAGCTAATACTGAACTAATTCATAGTGAGGCATCATAAACACAGTCAACTTTTCTGAGCTGATGGTGCTTACATTACAGTGAGGAGAAAAAGGCAATGAGCAAGTCAAATATGGTATTATCAAGGAGTCCTTTGGGCATCGAAGTAAACAAACCATAAAAGAAAAGAAAGAACATAACAGATGTTAAAATATTTAGAAAGATAGGAAGGAGTGTGTTTAAGAAACTAAAAGTGTTGAGTAGTTGAAACTTTAAAAAGAGTAATATAGTGAATGGTGGTAGACCAGATGGGAGAGGTAGGAAGGCTTAAGATACAAAGAACCTTGTATGTTGTAGTAGAGGTTAGGATTTTATTCTAAGGGTAAATGGGATTCATTAGTTAGTTTTAAGCAAGTATCATTATATGATTAAAGTCTTAAAAGGGTCACACTAATTGCTTTGAAGAACTGACTGGGATAGGGCTGTGGTGCCGATGGACAGTGTATGGAAAGTAGATGCAGAAATATCCGTTAGGAGGCTATTGCATTAATTCAAATGGAAATAATGGTGACTTGGACTAGAACTAAAGCAAAGGAAACAAAAGAGCTTGTTTGAAATGTATTTAGTGGTAGACATTGGACTAAAGGCCTACACATAAGAGGAAATTAATATTTGACCTCAGCAATGGATTGTTAGTGTTATTAACTGGCTTGAAGAAATCTTGAGAAATAATTTCAAAAAACATATCAAAAGTTATTTCTATTAAATTTGAAATGTAGACAGTTAAAAAGAGAAAGCAGAGTGACTATTAAATATGACCTTGGACCCCAGGGAAGAAGTCAGGGTTGATGATGTAACTTTTAAAGATGGAAAAGATGCAAATATATTTTACTCTGTGGACTTAGACTAAAAACATATTTTGTAAACTAAATATATGTGCCTTTTATCTAAAACCGTGTCTGATCTATGGCAGGAATTTAATTATTTGGTCAAAGAATGAAGCACATTTATTCATACCTTTGTGTCCCACAAATATAATTGAATCAAACATTTTGAGAGATATTAATATCTGTCCTTTGTTAGATCCAAAGAGGAGGCAGGGACTCATTTAGCTCTATGTTTATACTATATCCCCATCTGGAAGATTCATTTTATATATTAGCATCTTAAAATCACTGAAAAGTCTTGTTATGAAGAGACCTACAAGTTGTTTACCTTATATGAATGTATCAGTTTCAAAAATATTCAATTTTAAGCCCTCTGCAAACCATTTCATTTTAGTCACTACTAAGTGGCTGCCAGTGTCTTGATAAACTGTTATTTCATTAGCTACATAGAGAGATCTTTTCAAAACCCACTTGATACTCTTAGCAAAATAGAATTCGTTATTAACCTGTAACTAGGTCCCTAAGGAGCCCTGGTAGTGCAGCAGATTACAAACTGAGCTGCTAACTGCAAGGTCAGCAGTTTCAATCTATCAATAGGTCCTCGGATGAGAGATGAGGTTTTCTGATCCCCTAAAGATTTACTGCCTCAGAAACCCTAGCAGTGTACTACAAGGTCGGTTTAAACTGCTAGGTCAGGAGTTCAGATGCACCAGGTACTCCTCAGAAACCCTACACAGGGTTGCTACGAGTTGACAGCACTAATCAACAACATGAGTCGGAACCGACTTTACAGCACACACCCTCCACCACCACTACCAGATTCCTATGTCATAATCGTATTATCCTCTGAAAAAAATCAGAACACTCATTTAACAAAAGCTAAAATGTGAAAATAATATGACCTCTTTATTTCTTAAATATTAATTTTGATCATTTTAAAATGCAAAATTAACTATTTTCTCATTTCCTTGAACAATTCTTCCATATTGTTGTTCCTCCATCAGAACTTTTACAAAACGTCATTGTTTAATTGCAAATAGGGCTGCTTTATTCATTTCAACAGTCATTGGTTTCTGTTATTGCAAGGAAAGTTCCAGATCTTTGATAAAAAGACACCAAGATTCTTCCTGCATTCCAAGTCACTGGTAGCGTAGTGCTTATGAGTCAGGCTCATCTCATAGGTCAACAGTTTGAAGATACTGCATGAGAAAAATTAGGCTTTCTTCTCCCGTAAAGATTTACAGCCTCGGTTCTATGGGTAGGAATGGACTCTATAACAACTTATCAATAACAGATATTCACTAGCTAAAGTCCTGACAGTGAAAATGACAGAATAACTAACTCTGAAATTCCATCTCTCCATGAAATCAATAAAAACTGGCAAAAATGTTGGAATCCTTTTTTTATTCCTTCTAGCTTAAGCAAATAACCAAAAAGTGTTTGTCTACCCAGGGCAAGAAAGACAGTGGAAACTCTGTAAGAGCCGCCAGCTTTCTTGCTTGATAACTTATTCCATTCCATGCCCCACTCCCTAGGTCAAATCTTAAAACAAATCCATTAACCATTGAGTTGATTCAGATTCATAGTGACCCTGTAGTACATGGTAGAACTCCCATTTAGGATTTTCAAAGCTGTAATCTTTACAGAAGCAGAGTGCCACATTTTTCTCCTATTAGCAGTGAAAAACTACACTATTCTCAAGGAGCTAAAGAAACCTAAAATTCTTACTCAGGATCCTCTGTTTCCTTACAGTGAGCATCTGCCTGTGGAACATGACTGCTTTCACAGGAAACATCTATGGCACACACAAAAAATCATTTTTGTCTCATATAGTAAGAGTCCTTGAAATCTTAATTATTTGTTTAATCAGCAATAACTGTCCTCTGTTTGCTCTGCAAGTAATTTTACATACCATGAATTTCAGAGTTGGTATTAAACTGTTGTGCTGGTAGGTGAGGTGAGCCCATCATTTAGCTTTAACAATTAAAAAAAAAAACAAAAAAAGGGTGATTTGGAGCCAGGTCCCTAACTAACCAGATGTGAATAATTTACCTAACTCATCTCTGGCTCTACATTCTCATCTATCAAATTGGGAAAAAGAAGTGAACTCAAAAGTTGGAAAGACATAACACATGCAAGATGCGGAAATGTGTGTTCCCAGCATATAGTAAGCACTCAATAAATATTTGCTGTTATTTGTATAATGATAATTTGTGAGAAGAAATGTGAAAGTGGTAAAGGTTGAAATTATGACTGCTTCAATTATCAAATAACTTACATTGTTGTTAAGTGTCCTTGAGTCAGTTCTGATTCATAACTACTCTGTGTAGAGTTTCCAGGAAGCAACTGATAAGTTTGACCGCTCGCTTACCTTGTGTTTCAAACCGACCTTGTAGTTCAGTGTTTTATCCTACAATACCACACCAGGACTCCAAATAACTTATATTGAGTCTTATTTTTTTTTAAGTTCTTAGTGATAATATATTAAGATAAGAATAAAAGGAAGTATTGTAATTCCTATCAAACAGTCAATGTCCCTGCTATTTGTAATACTTGTGCTTTGTGTCAAAGGTCTTCATGATATCACATCAACAAAATATAAATCACTGTATTATACATATAAACACTTTCAAGAGCTAACCAAATCTATAGCCTCTACACTCAAATTTGATAAAGATCTTGCTAATGCTGACTGGAACATTGTTGAAAAAACAATTATACTTCAAAACCCATATGCGGTAAGCAAGTAACGTCTTTTGCTTATTATCTCAAAGTAAATACAATTGACCTAATAAGGCTAAATCATGCCATAACTATACATTCATAGTGTTTATTTGTAGTTAACAGGTAAGTTGTATTAGTAATTCCTTATTTGTCTTAATAGTAAGAAAGAAGTCCTTAGATATTATCAATCAATAGCATATACGAATTACTTTCCTACTGTTCATGGGACAAAGGAAAAGTAACAACGCTGTTGAATCAATAAATGTTAAAAATTCAACAGAGTGAGCTGTATATTAGAGTTGCCTTTAAAAGGTATCATAAGGCTTTAGAAAATGACTACTTTCTGTTTTGCTTTTATTTTTAAACCAGGTTTGGAATGCTCAGTGACCTTCATTCATTTAGTATTTACTATGCTTAGCATTATTAGTAGGATTTTTGTCTTTTGAAAAACAAAATGGTGTTCACTTCAGCAGCACATATACTAAAATTGGAATGATACAGACAAGATTAGCATGGTCCCTGTACATGACTGACACACAAATTCATGAAGCATTCCATATTTTTGAATGGATAAACAAATTGTGGTACATACACACAATGAAAAATTATGCTACCTTGAAATACTAAGCTACCATATTATTCTACCTTGAATATTAAGCTACCATATAACATGGATGAACCTTGAGGACATTATGTTGAGTGAAATTAATCAGTCACAAAAGGAGAAATACTGCATAGTATGATTATTGTAAAAGACTAAGAAAAAGAACCCCTACTAAAAGTGGGGGGTATTCTTTGCTGGTTACCGGGATCTGGGGAGTGGGGCGAGAGGAGGGAGGAGAAGGTGGAGCACAGGGTAGGGAATAGACACAAGATAGTTTGGGTGCTAAGGAGGGGACAATACACAAGAAGGGGAGAGGAATGGAAGAACAAGGTGGTTAGGAGAACAATTAGGCAGGTTTGCATGGGCTAAGTGGAACAGAGGTAAATAATGATGTATGCACAACCTTGGAGCAACAGGGCTCTGGGAACAGGGATTGAGGCATGGTTAGAATGGGCAAAAGGGGGGAAATAATGTTAAGCTGCTTGGCTGTCTTTTGAATCTTGGTTTCCCTGGTATTTCTTTATAAAATAGACACTTGAGGGGGAGAGAAAGGAATAGCCAGAAATATCACCAAAGGTTGTAAGTCCATCTTCTGACTATAATTGATTGGAATACCTAAAATGGGGCTACAACGTGCCCAGTGAAGGAGGCTTCCTGCAGAGCCTCTGCATTGCATAAGACCATAGGTGGAATCCTGAACCCCATCCAGAATCTTCTGAGATGAGAAATTTTCACTGGAGAGGACAAGCAGACCAGCCTGGAGCGTCTAGAAGAAGAGAAGATACTTCTTGAAAGAAAGACAGACAGGAAAAATACAAAACAATAAAGACAGTCTGACTGATTACTACAAGAACAAGCAAGTTCCTTGCCCATTAGCCATCAAGGCAAGTGGTTAGTTCCCCTCAGGACAAACCCCCTTCCAAGACTAAGACTCAATGGGAATACACAAGCAGACATATAACCACATTCAACATCGATAAAGGAAACTAGGAAAAAAATAGCAATGAAGCTGCATGCTAAGTCCTACCCTGTTCAATAGACTCTTGTGAATCCTGGTGGAGACCTGGTTGGCCAGCAGTATGGCAAGACCTGGGGACTCCTGGGCCCAGAGTCAGTGACATAGCCACAGAGGACTAGAGTGGAGAGTGAAGCATCCAGCTGATAAGAAGAGAGGCCATATGCACAAGAACACCCACATTTGCAAATAATACCCACTTGACCTGGCTTCAATGGCTGGATAATCAAACTCAACTAGAAGAAGAAAGAAGAGGAAAAAAAGAGTAATCTGGTACAATTTGATGAAATTGGCCTACAATTATGGATGCAGTAGCTCAAAAGAGGAAACAAATCTTTACAGCGAGGATCATTCCCACCCCCTCAATACACAGGGCAGACAGGGATGGACAACTTGGACACTGGCTACCCAAAATGGTGGGGGAGGGGGTTGCACCTACAAAGGCAAGAAGTGACTGGCTTACAAGCTTTCAAGAGGGAACCTACATCCAGAGGGCATGGAGGAAGGTAGAATCTCCACTGAGTAGTATCCAATCTGTCTGGGAGGGGTTGATGAAAGGAGATTGGGATAGCACTCATGTGGTACAGTAGTGAGTAAGTAATATCAGGACTGACTGTGAGGGTTGGAAATGTAAAGGTAGATGTTTTGTAGCAAAAGGAGGGGAGTGGTTGACTTTGCAATCCAGGAGCGAAGGTCCCTGGGACCACCAAGGGAGAAGAGTGGAGTGAGGGACTCTACCCAGAGAAACAGTGATGCCAAAGATGGAGGCAGAGATGATGACGTGGAGAGATGGAGCGGCTGGGGACTTTAGACCCAGAGAGGGAGAGGGGCTGTGTGCTGACGACCAGGGGACAGGCTTGCAGGGTATACCCTTTGGATGGTTGATGATGCATGAAGGGGATTGTAATCATGGCAATGTAACGCTATATGATAGGATGAATGTAAAGCTAACATTCTTCCATGTAAACTAATTTATACCACATAATTCACAATAAAATATTTTTTTAAATATATAGAAATAGAATTCAAAGCCAGTACTGTTAAGCTTAGCTTTGGGTAAGATGTATCCTCCTACTTCTGGCATGTACTTTATAATCTATATGGCCAGATTTATTATTCATTCAAGAACATTCAGCTTGCCAGTGCGGTTGTCATAAAGAAAAAGAGTAAAAATTGTCCTAGATATTCTCACTGCTGCCATTGCTTTGCCATCTGTAATGCTTCTGGCCAAAACACACAATGAGGGTCCAATTTCTAGAAGTGTAGAGTCAGATAGATAATGAGTGTCTATGGAATGGGATTTCCCAAAACATCTTAGCTTCACTAGACAGTACATGCATCTCCAACAGGGGACTCAGACCCCACACCCCCCCTCTCCCCCCCGAACCTTCAGCAATATTGCAAAGATTTCTAGGTGGAGCTGGTTCCAAATCAAATTCAAGAATTTTCTCTATCTTACCAGATTTTTAAAAAATCATCTTCCAAAACAAACTGGTATATCAATTGAAACTTGTGTTAATAATATGTTAATATGATTTTTTTTTTTAATAAAAATGTTATGTTTTTCTTAGGCAAGCCAAGAAGAAACAACAGGCCATCAAATGGTGAGGTGTCCAGACTGTAACAAGGAAATAGATGAGACCCTTAACATTGAAGCAATGGAACTGGCCAACAGGCGACTTTTATCAGCACAAATAGTTAATATTCTGCTATACTTTTTTAAAATTAGTTTTTGGCTTAAAATTATACTGAAAACTTTCTCACTTCCTAAGTGCATATTGATTATACCCACCCACATAACAATATACAGTTTGTTCAAACTAAAGGAAGTCTTAGGAATCTGTTTGGTTGTTAAAAAAGAGATGAAAGAGAAAAAAGAAAGAAATCAACTTAAATTATTTTAAGTTAAAGGTAGCTTTGGCAGCGTAGTGGTTACGAATCAGGCTGCGAACCTTAAGGTCAGAGGTTCAAAACTACCAGCCACTCCGCGGGAGAAAGATGAGGCTTTCTACTCCGGTAAAGATGTGCACTCTCGGAAACCCTGTACAGGGTCACTATGGGTCGGAACTGACTCACCGGCACTTAACAACAACAACAAAGGTATTTTATTATAAGGAATTAGGAATTTCACAGATCCTAGTGGCAAGAACTTTAACAGAGCTTTAGGCAGCCAGTTCCCTAATACTGCCTAGTTCTGGGGCTAAGCCTGTTTTTCATGCAAAGGTACCATCAGATTCTCTAATTACTGCATGTGTTGTTATTAACTGCAGTAGAGTCAGTTCCCCACTCATAGCAACCCTGTATAGGATTTCCCAGGAAAGTATGTTTACATACTAAAGTTTGAGTCCAAATGAGAGAAATTCTTTAGCATAAATAGTAGCATAGGAGTCTGTGGGAAATTGCTACTAAGCTAGTCAGCATTTTCTGTCTAGGGAAGGATTTTAGCTGTTACAACTCATCATGCAATCTCTGTAAAGAGTCATGATCCATTTCTTTGCTATTCCAACCATGCAGAATTCCAGCACATTGCTTCCTCAGTCTGATTTAAGCCACAGGAAGTTCAAATCTACCAGTGACTCCTTGGAAACACAGAGTCACTATGATTCAGAACTGAATTGACGGCACTTAACAACAACAACAACACGTATTTTATAAAATATTATAAACCTCAATAATCTCCATATATCCAACAGCAGATATATAGATGAGGCTTTCTGCTCCCATAAGAGTTTGCAACACTGGAAACCCTATACAGGATCACTATGAAAAGGAACCGACTTGATGGCACACCACCACCACTACCACCACCATCTTTAGCTTTATAATAGAAAACAATGAATGTAGACACATTTATTCATCCTCTATCATTCAATTTTTTATGGCTTCCTTTTTAAAAATAAAAGGAAAAATGTATTTGCTAGGTCCTGTAGTAGTGGTTGAAACACAAAGATGGATTCAGTTTGATATTCTGAAATTTCCTTCGTGTCCTTCTTGTAATTTTAGTCTTATACTTATTTTGTTACATCAATTATGTTTATTAGTTATTATTAACAAAAGCCTTTTCTAGATATCTTTCCTTGTTTATTTATTTTCTCCAACAGTTTGATATTGTTTTTTTTTAATTTTTACTGATTAATTTCAACAGCATTTCCAGCCCAGATCTTTTCTATTGGTTTGCCAAGTGCTTCTTTCCTCATTTTGTACAAAAAAAAAAAAAAAATGATCAACAAATACCTGAAAACATTTCAGGCCTAAAAATGTGAAGATTGCATCTAATTAATGATATATTCATAAGAAAACAATTGAGGAATATTTTTAATGCTTATGTAATTAAATGCAAACACCTTCATCACTTGGGTGTTTCTAGAATTATCTTAATTTTATGTCGTTTAAAATATTATGAGACCACGTCTCTGATTTGTTTACAGATTTTAAAAATGTAATGTTAAAAATGCAGGAGACTATTTTGAGTGTTCCACCACTCCTCCATCAGTCTGTCTACTGTGGTGACTTGCATGCTGCAATGATGCGGGAAGCAGGGCTGCCCAAGGTGAGGAGATTTCCGTGGAGCTTCTAGATTAAGCCAGAGTAGGAAGAAGGAGAGGCAGACCACTTCTGAATGGTCAGTGACTTAAAACCTTATAAATAGCAGTAAAATCCTCTGATACTGATTTAAGCCCCATAGATATGAAGGCACTCAAAATATGACGGGCATATTGACCTTAATAACGGCAACGACGTAACGCTTTCAGGACCTTCATTTTTCAATGGGACACAATGAAAAATGAGAAGAAACAACTGCAAGCACCTATTAATAATCTGTACCAGGAATGTACAATGTATGAATATAGAAAATTTGAAAGTTGTCAAAATGAAATGGAATGTATAGAGATCAGAATCCTAGGAATTAGCTGAAATGGACTGGTATTGGCCATTTTGGATGGGATAATCATATGATTTACTAGGCCAGGAATGAAAAACATACATCCTCACAAAGAACATATCAAGATAGATCATGAAGTATAAAGTTGTCTGTGATAGGATAGTATCCATATGCATACAAGATAGACCAGTTAATACCCTGTTATTCAAATTTAAGGTCCAGTCATTAAAGATAGTGATAATGAAAATGAAGAAATCAACCAACTTCTTCGGTCTGAAACTGATCAAACATGCAATCAAGATGCAATGATAACTATTGGTGATTGGATCAGTAAAGTAGGAAACAAAGGGAAGCATCAGTAGTTGGAAAATATCGCCTTGGTGGTAGATATGATGCTAGAGATCTCATGACAGAATTTGCAAAACCAATGATATTCATTGTAAATAACTTTTCAATAACATAAAAGGGACGAAACATGGGCCTCACCAGATGGAATACACAGAAATAAAATTGATTAAATCTGTGGAAACAGTGGGAAAGTTCCATATCATCAACTGAAACAAGAGCAGGGGCAAATGTGGAACAGACCATCAATAACTCATTTGCAAATTAAGATTGGAGCTGAAAAAAATAATAACAAATACACCAGAGCCAAAATATAACCTTGAACATATCCCACCTGAATTTGGAGACCATCGCAAGAAAAGATTTGATGCATTAGACACTAAAGACCGAAGACCAGAAGAGTTGTGAGATGACATCAAGGATATCACACATAAAGAAAGCAAAAAGTTATTAAAAAGACGGGGAAAAAGGAAAGATGAAGGTGGATGTCAGAATAGACTCTGGAACTTGCTTTTCCGTGTAGGATGCTAAAATAAGTGGAAAAAATAGGAAGTAAAAGAGTTTAATAGGACATTGCAAAGGACAGCTTGAGAAGACAAAGTCAAATATTATAATGAAATGTGCAAAGACTTAAAGTTAGAAAACCAAAAGCGAAGAACACACTTAATATTTCTCAAGCTGAAAGAAGTGGGGGGAAAAATTCAAGTCTCAGGTTGCAACACTGAAGGAATTTTATTGGCAAAATATTGAATGATGATAAAAGCATCAAAAGAAGATGGAAGCAATACACAGAGTCACAGTACCAAAAAGAAATAGTCTATCTTCAGCCATTTCAATAGGTATATTATCAAGAACCAATGGTATTAAAGGAAGAAGTCCAAGATGTACTGAAAGCATAGACAAAAAACAAGACTCTGGGAATTGATGGAATACAAATTGAAGTCTTTCAACAAACTGATGCAGCACTGGAGGTGCTTGTCTATGTTAAGAAATTTGGAAGACAGCTACCAGGCCAACTGACTTGGAGAGATCCATATTTAGGCCCATTCAAAAGAAAGGTGAACCCACAGAATTTGGAAATCAATGAACAATATCATTAGTATCACATACAAGTAAAATTTGTTGTGTGAAGTGCCGTCAAGTCAATTCTGACTTGTACCGACCTTGTGTACATTTTCCAAGGACAGGCTGCTGAATTTGACCCACCAACCTCATGGTTCAAACTGACCTTGCAGTCCAGCGTATTACCTGCAATGCTACACCAAGATAATTCAAAAACAGTTGCAGCAGTACATCCACAGGGAGCGTCCAGAAATTCAAGTTGGGTTCAAAAGAGGACATAAAATGAGGATATCATGGCAGAGGTCAGATGGATCTTGGCTGAAATCAGAGTATACCAGAAAGACGTTTACTTGTGCTTTATTGTATGGATCTTTTGACTGTAATAAGGGTAATTTCAGACTATGGGTGACATTGTGAAGAATGGGTATTTCTGAACACTTAATTGTGCTCATGAGGAACCTGTCCATAGACCAAAAATACAGTTGCTTAAATAGAACAA